TTTTTTTTTTTTTTTTTTTTCTTTTTGGATAGTACTGGAATTATATTCAGGGCCTCACAGATGCTAGGCAAGTGTCCTGCCAATGAACTATACCAGAATCCTGGTACTTAAAAGTTATTTGTAGACTCCTACAGTTAATGATACAAAGTATTAACTTATTTAATATTAACAAGAATCTAATTCTATCTTGTTATTTTTGCAGGTGCTTTTCTCCCATATGACAGGCTATGTATAAAATTCACAGGAAGAGTAGTCAAAAAAAACCCACCTGATCAGAGCATTAACTTATGTCATAAAACTATGTGGCAATAGTCAGAGCCTTGTAGCGTTAAAGATTACAGTTATAGACCCTGGGTTAATAGTGTTTTAATTAATCTGTAGTCCCCACAAGAGCAGCCAAGCAAAATGAGAGAAAATAAACAAAAAACCCAACAGAGCAAAATGATTTTATGGTAACAAAAAAGATCAACGAAAAAAAGACAATGGATATATTAGGTGTTAATGGCTTGAAGGAAAAAGGTATAAGAAACATCACACAGTGACTAAAATCTTTGTTCAACCTGAACAATAAAAATGAGACTTTAACAACTGTATTTTAATTAACAACTTAAACGTATATATAGTTTCTGTCTTTTGAAGCTTAATTTTAAAAAAAGCCTGAAGAGGATAATGTAATATTTTAGTACATTTCTTCTAATAATTATCTAGTATCTTTTATATGTAAAGACTGCATGGGGGGCCATGGATGTAGTTCAGTGGCTGAGGCCCTGAGTTTGATTTCTGGTACTGGAGAAGAAGGAGGGAAGTATATAATAAGTCCTTGACTTATGAACGAATTCCATTCCGGGAGAATGCTTTTAAGTTCAACAAAGTGAGTGTTATATACCTCTGATGCAAATGAACAGTGCATTCTGCTTGTTTCCTAGCAGTCCCCTTCACATCACCACTGCTTTGACTCTTCCCTCTGAATATCCTGAGCTGACTGAGCATCTACTGTAAAGTATGGTACTGTACAATAAACACATGGCAGCACAACTGTGATAGTGTCTGGCAGACATGTGAGCTACTTCTGTGCTATATCTGTATCTACGAATGCTTGTAATATGAGGTCTACTTATATCTGTGAAATGTTAAAACTAAAATAGGGACTCACTGTAAAGGACATCCCATAAACTACCTATTCTATGCACATTGATTACTATTAAATGCAATCTCCAACTTATCAAAGATACTGATTTCTGTGATGTTCTCTACTTTCTGGGCCTATATTCATGATGGAAATGTCTCAGTTTCAGATCTTTTTTTTTTTAAAAAAAGGTATTGGTTATTGAATTAAATTATTGACTTAAAAATCTGTAGCACATATACATGACTTTTAATTTTGCATCAGGTTGCCACAAATCAGATTTACACAGTCCTTATAGGCAGATAACCCAAGAAAGTTTCTAAGTGGTGCTAACACAAGAATTTTAAGTTTACAGATGTGTAAAACATCAACATACCTTAGCTAAAAAGCCTATTTTTAAGAAAAAAGAGTATGTTCTCATTTTTAGCCTAAATTTGACTTAATTCTTCCCAGTGGATCCAAAGCCTTCAGAGCCCCTTTCCATGAGTTTTAGATCTTCTTACAGCTGCTACTAGCAAGCTGAAATACTTCCCATTCAACTCAATATATACATTTATTAGGAAGTAGCTCCCAACAAATTCACAACACTGGTACTCAATGAGCTAAATGACAATTATTCTACTAAATTATAATATGGAGAACTGCAGATAGTTGGAAAACAGTTTTTACTTGTCTTTTTCTTTTTTGGCAGGACTGGGGATTGAACTCAGGACCCTGCGCTTGCCAGACAGGCACTTATTCTACTGAGCTATCTCCCCAGCCCCTTTACTTTTCTTCTTTTAGTTTTTATGTCTTTTACACTTCCTTATATTAAACCTTCTTATGATAATGCAGGGCAAAGTAGAGCCTGAAACATTATACATCATTAAGCAGAAAAACCTATTTTAGATTTTTTGCATACTCCACTTAATCTCAGTATCAGTATATAATTTATTGCAATTTCTGGGAGTTTCTAAGCTTCCTAGAATGCTATACATAAAATATATGTTGAAGACATACTATGAATTAAAATAATTCTTAACACTTAAAATAGAAAAAAGATGTGTGTGGACTGAAAAGCAACCAACAGACAAACATGATACATGCAGGGTGGCAATTTGTTTCTCTAAATAAATCTAATCATGCAATTTATCCTTCAGGGAATGGGGAAAATCAGTTGGGAATAACTGCCTGAAATACTTTTGGGAATTTGTATGTTATTAAGGTTTGATAGGAAGTAATGTTAAATAAAAATTCTCCCAAATCATATAAAGAAAAGGACACACATCTGTGAATGGCACCTGAAGCAGTTTTTTCCATTAGCACCTTGCTGTGTGTGATGTTAGAAAAGTCTGGGGGTTAAACAAAGGAAAACACCTAAAGGGTTAACATTACAGGGTTAGACAAGATGGAAAGCATTTCCCATGCAAGAATGAGCAGGATAGTCAAACCTGTACTGGTCCCTTCTACTGTGGAAAGCACAAAACAAAAAGTAGAGGGTATACTATCAGATAAAGTAAACATGTGAAAACCAGTTTGATTTTTCAGCAACCCAGTTTAAGAAGGCTCATTCTTAATATTAGCATTAGCACAATCTTTACACAGTCTCCATTTTGTTGTCAGATTATCCAATATAGTGTGCAGAAGTTAAATGTTCTTTTTCTCTCTTGAAATTTATCCCACCCATATTCTATTAGATATCCCTCAAGGAGAATGTGAGGAAAAGGCGGAAAAAAATCTCCTTAAGAGTAAAAGATCTTCAAGATATGGACCAGCATACACATCTAAGAGCATGAGTACCAAGTCTCTTAGCAAATGTCCTAGACATGACCCAAAAATCTCTCCAAGGGAGGCCTTACCAGTGGGAGGCTGTCCATAAGAAGTTGCATATGCAGTCTGCCCATAGGTGGCAGTGGTCTGAGCTTGGGTATAGCTGACATCAGTAGGCTGTCCATAGGTTCCATAGCTTTGTTGCCCATATGCCTGCTCCAAAGAAAATGGATGTTAAAAACTTTATATGTGAATCTTACCTTTTAACAATATAACTGATGTATCTCGAGTTTCTAAACTGCATAATCAAAAACTAAAATACACATAAAGTTATTTTTTGAGACAGGGTTTCACTATGTATTACAACCTGGCCTTGAACTTGATGTGTAGCTCAGGCCAGCCTTGCTGCAATCCTCCTGGCTCAATTTCCAAAGTGCTGTGATTACACATGTGTGTGACCACGCTCAGCTACAGCTTGAGCCTATTATCTTTTACCCAAGTTATTTCTTTTTTTTGCAGAACTGGGGTTGAACTCAGATCCTTGCATTTGCCAGTCAAGCGCTTATCCTACTGAGCCATCTCCCCAGCCCCTACCCAAGTTATTTTTATGTTGGTAAAGATAACAATAAAGTTCCAGATATATTTAGGAAAAAAACCTCTATATACAGGAGATTAACAGGACACTCCTGGGGCCAGGGAGATCGCTCAGTGTAATAAGTGCTTCCCTGGCAAGCACAAGGGCCTGAGTTCAACCCCCAGTTCTGCCAAAAAAAAAAAAAACCCAAAAAACAAAAAACACCACACACACACACACACACAAATATACAGGACACTCCCAAGGGAAGAGCAATAACGCAACACAGTTTTAATAGAAACAAATATTCAAAAGGTAAGTGGGCAAAGAAAAAAAGCAAATGGAAGGCAAGGCTAAAATTTTCCAGATAATTTTGAAAACTGTATTTTTAGCATGCACAAAGATTAAAACTATTACGTATCTCAAAGGAAATGAAACTAGAATTTTGCAAATTCTATGTTTAGTACTAGTCTTTTGAACTTGGACATCAGTAATATTTAAAACCAAGTTAAGGAATGAGCTGTTCTTTCAGATTTTAACATGTCCATATCCTGGTTTGTCTGAATGGCCATTCAGGTAAGATATGCTAGAGATACCACATTCTACATCTGTCCTAGAACATGGTCCTATGGTAGTTATTAGTATCTACTTTACGATGTGACTCATTCAGAATTCAAGGTGATCTTGAAAATACTAGGAAGCCTATTTTTAATTTCTACAGTAGGTGGCCTTGGCTAGTTCCCCCCATGCCCCATGGTTCTGGAGGTCATGCAAACTAAACAAGCACTCTACTACTGAGATAATCCCCAGACCCTGACTTAGGTTAACCACAAAGTTTGGGAGCTCCTCAGCTAGGCAGCAATGTTTCTTAGACCTGATCCTGCTATATACTACCTATGCATTGCAATGAGCTCCAAACACAATAAAATATACAGAAAAACAAAGCACATAACACAGTAACTAGAGAAATCATAGTCTAGAAATTTATAAAAAGCCAATCCTCTGTTTTTATACAGTGTCATTTAAGATGGCACAATGGAGCCCTTGGGTTTTTAATGAAAACATTACTGTTTCATGTTATACTTAATTCTGAAGATCTGTATTAGTCACTGTTTTAATGACCAAAAGAAACATTTTACCTGAAGATGCAGCTACATATAGCTACTGTATTTTAAAGATTACCTGGGTGGTCTGTGCATATCCTTGAGTTGGCTGGGCTGTGTAAGCACTGTAGCTGCAAAAGAAATGCAAGAACTGAACACAGAACATTCGGATACTATTACTACAACTGCTACAACTGCATGAGGCTCCAAACTCTAAAAACAGTAAACACAGACAAAAACTGTTACAAAAGACTGACTTACCCCTGCTGGGCTGCAGCTTGGCTGTAGGTACTATAATCTGGAGGAAACAAGGAAAGAGGTATAAAGTCAGCAAAGAGAAAGTAAAGAAATTTAGGTGGCAAGAAGAATTCGTTTAACTATTTAGAGGATGACACAGTCGAAATGAGTATCTTTGAGCTCTTAAAACCAAACCACACAAATTAGGTCTAACAAAGTTAAACTCACAAAGTCTGAATATGAATACAATGCTAGCTACTGAGGCCAAGCTCAGCTGACTTACAAGGTATTTTATATGTTCCCATGACATTACACCCCCCCCCATCATTTTACTTTTTGAGTCCTTTTGAGACAGTTTTGCTATGTAGGTCAGGCTGGCCTTGAACTCAACTTTGTAGCCTAGGATGGCCTCAAACTCCAGGTGATCCTCTTGCTTTAGCCTCCTAAGTGCTGGGATTACAGGTGTGCACCACCACAGCCACCCAGAATGTCACTGTACATGTACGATCATCGCCCTGAGGCTAATAGGAAGACCCTAAAACAAGATCAGAAACGTATGTTCACATAAAAAGGAGCTATGCAACAATATTAGTGTTCAAAATCAGACTGATTAGTCTTCTTCTCTCCTCAAAACTGGTTTTTCTACTACTTCCTCAAATTCGCTAGCACTGAAATAGAATGGCGGAAAACAAGACACTGGTAATTACAAGCTAGTATCCTAAAGTCGGCTGACTCAAGACTACATCTAAATAATAGTAATAACTCAAAAGCTAGGTAGCTAGGGAAAATTTGGATTTAGGTCACATAATTGTACCTATTTCCTAAAATCCAAAGTGATTTGAACTTAAAAACTGCAATTTTTTTCTGCTCTCTATAAACCATCCTTTAGAACTTTTTTTTTTTTTGTCTTTTTGAGAGTTTCACTATGCAGCTCAGGCTAGCCTTGAACTTACTCTGTAGCGCAAGCTGGCCTCAAACTTGGAACAATCCTCCTACCTCAGCCTCCTGAGTGCTGGGAGTCCAGGCATGCATTACCATGCATGGCCAGCCTCTAATAACGTTCTACAACAAACACCAAAAGGGGCCAATAGGGCTGGGTATATAGCTCAGTGGCATAAGTGCCTGCCGGGCAATTGCAAGGTCCTGAGTTCAATCCCCAGGTACCTCAAAAAAAAGCACATGCGGGGGTGCGGAAGACCTGATCCACTAAGGTTATTATCTATGAGCAATGGGAAAAACCAACCAACCAGAAAACGGCTGAGATGTTTTCACATCACTACTGAATTAAAGTTACAGAAATTTTGGGGCTGGAGAGATGGCTCAGTGGTCTAAAGCACCTACTTGAAACAAGCTTGGCAAAGCACAGGGACCTCGGTTCAATCCCCCAGCACCACATGCCAGCCAGCCCCGCCCCCTGGTGGGCTGAGCTGGCCACACACAAACACACAATAAATAAATGTAATAAAAAAAAATAAAAATAAAGTTTCAGAAATTTTAAGACTTTACAAAGGCAATTTTTATTATTATTATTTTTTGGTGGAACCAGGGATTGAACTTAGGCCCTTGTGCTCGCCAGAGAAGCACTTATTCCACCGAGCCATCTCCCCAACCCCAGCAATTTTTATTTTTAAAAAGCCTAATTATCTCCTCTGCACATGGATATATATCTTGCTCAATGTTTGAATACAGTACTGCCATTAAAATAACCAAACAGTCCTTTCTTTTCCAGTCAAAAAGGGTCAGAAAATCCCTCACTCAAAAGCAACTGTTGCATCTCAGTTGAAAAAGAGGTAGAACCCTGTGCATGAAATCCAAGCCTGCCTCACCATCTCCTGAGTTGGCCTCAAGAGTATGTGGCCGAGTTCATCTCTTTTAAATTGGCTTGTGTTTCTACTGTTCTGCAATTCACCTACTTTCCTTTGTTTGTACACCCTTAACTCAGAACCCTGAATCAACATTATAAAATCAACTGCCAAAGGATATCTAACATGGGTGGAAAAAAAAAAAAAAATCAATCCATTCAAGTCACTCTAGAAGCATTTTCAATAATACTACAGTCACGTTCTTTATGACACATAAAAAGTAAATGTAGCCAGACGTGGTGGTGCATGCCTATAATCACAGCACTCTGGGAGGCTGATGAGAAAGATCTCTCAAGTTCAAGGCCAGCCTGGGTAACGTAGCAAGAGCTTGTCTCAAAATAAAAAATTGATCTGGGGATGTAGTTCAGTGTTAAGGTTCTGGATTCAATCTCCAGTATGGAGGGTGGTGATGGTGGTATGGGTATGTAGTAAATGCCGGGGTTGGGGTTGTAGTTCCACCAGCATGCCCAATGGCCTGAGTTCAAGGGCCCCAGCAATGCAAATACCTCCTCTAACTCCCTTTCCATTAAATGCAAATTGGCATTCACAAAACAAACACAATAAAGCACCAAAACCAAGTTATTTCAACCTACATTTTCCAGAGGTTTCTGTATGAAAGATGATTTAAAACTCTCTGACATAAATTCAGCGTTTGTGAGAAGACTTACACAAGAGCAGTTATGTAAAACATAAAACTGAATGGTACCCAGTATGATGGTGACTGTAATCCCAGCTTCCAGGGAGGCTAAAACAGAACCATCACTGAGTTTCGAGTCAGTATGTGCTACAATAGTTAAGTTCAAGGCCAGCCAGAAGTTCACTACATAGTGAAATCCTATCTCAAAACACCAAAATACAAACAACAGCCCCCCAAAACTGATACACAACAGCTACTGATCACAGGTCAGTGTGAAACCACAGGACTTGAACCTGCACTGGTGGGTTGAGGCAAAAATTCTTTTCATGAGAATTTGTTTATCTACAGCACACATGGTGGCCTTACACAAAACTACAAATATACACTGCTCCGATTATTTAACAACCAATTGTGTTTGTTTTTAATTTCCAAAGATGCAATTGAAAATACCAAAACCACCACAGGGAGAGAAGTAGTGCAGGGGGTCTTTAGAGTGCTAGCAATATTCTATTGCTTGGTCTGAATAGTGGTTGTTTGGGAGCTTGTGCTGTAATTGTGTAAGCTGGACATATGCTGCAGTATGGATACCTTTCTAGGTGATCGTAGGCAAGGGACATTTTAGGTCAAGTCACTTGCCAAACTGTACAGATTTAGGGAGTCAAACCACATAATGCATTAAAGTCAAAAAGGAGTAACTTTGTTGGGACAAAAATGCTTTGCTTTTAATACCAGAAGGACTCATGAAACTTTTTTTTTTTTCCCCAGAACCGGGGATTGAACTCAGACCCTTGAGCTTGCCAGGGAAGCGCTTATTCTACTGAGCCATCTCCCCGGCCCCTCAAGAAACTTTTAAAAGGCCCATCTACTTGCTTTCATTTTTTTTTTTTTTTTTTTGCCGAACTGGGAATCGAACTCAAGTCTTCATGCTTGCCAGGGAAGCACTTATTCCACTGAGCCATCACCCTGGCCCTACTTGCTTTCATTTTGAAAGAAAGCAAACTCAGGTAAGATGTGACTCCCTTAAAGATCCCCCCACGTGGCCTAATACTGTGTCTCTATAAACCACACTTGTAATTTTAATCTAGTAAATGGTTACCGGCAAAGAGAGTTGGAACAAAGACTACTGAAAACAGTCATGTTCAGCCACATAAACATTTCAATGTAAACACTGTCTCCTCAGGTTGTAGCAGGCAAGATGAGGGTGGAAAGGGCACAGGATGTTGTGTTTTAGGAGCACTCCTAGTAGCCATCAGCAACAGCCAACATTCACCTGGTTACTGATCACACAGATGAGAAGAGTTCTTAAAATTGTCTTTCAGTTGTTCGATATAGGAGTCTTTTCAAATTAAAATTATGAAGGATCCAGAGCTTTTCCTATTTTCCCTCTCATTTTCACCCAATGCCTCCAAGGCCTGGAACCAGCATCATGGAGGACTACCCTCAAAGGCAAAAAAGCTCTACCCTGCCAAAATCCCGGGTTAAGTGCACCAACAGCAGATGAAAGTGAGACATAGTGTACTCACAAACGCTCTGGGCCTTAAGGACCCCCCTATCCATATCATTCCAGAGTTCCCACACTGGGCTTTCTTTTGGAGTCCTCCACGGGCCTGCCATTGCTAGCCTCTCCGGGTTCCCTAAGTAAACACGCCTGTAGCCAAATACAAACAAATATAAACGTGCTAGACGATGGTTTAACTACAGCTCATATGCAGGCTCGAGGTTTTTGTTCCCCCTAGGTTAAAGAGAAGAGAGATTTATTTCTCTTTCTGGTAGGATTTCTGGCCTCCAGATCCAGTCTGGCCTTCTTATACAACCGATCTCCTTTGGCGTTTGCACAAAAATCCCTGGGAAGTCACTTAATTGCTTTTTAGGGAGGAAAGGAGGTGGGATTAACACAAGACTCCCCCCAGGTCCCCCCCGCCAAAAATCCAAAGGGGGCAGCAGATTTGAAGGAGGGCCTGACTGGAGGGGGGGGGTGTTACGTTTTAAGGTCAAGCCAGTATAAATTGGGATTGGGGCTGGAAGGCACCCTGCCGGCTGGGCCCGAAGGATGACGAGGCTCCTACTCAGAAGCCGGGGCCCTGCACCACACTAAGTCCCAATAGCTTGTTTGGTTCTTTCCAGATTTCTCTTAAAAGTCGCCCTCGACATAGGTCCACTAACCCTGGAAAGAGAAGAGCGGAGGGTCACATGGGCGGCGGGGCTGCGGCTCCTTGAGCCACCTTATGGGCCCCCTTCTGCTTTCGGGGTGACCGACTCGAGGCCAGGCGCGTCCTCGTTTCACGCGGGACCTCAGAGGCCACAGGCCCCGCCCACGTGGCGGGCGGCCGGGAGCGCGGGGGCCGACGATCGCCACACAATGGAGGCCAAAGAAGGACCTGAGCCCCGCCACCGCGAGCCCCCCGCGCGCCGGAAGGTTCCAGAACCGGCCCGCCCGATGGGGGAGGGGAAGAAAACGCAGGCCCCCAAACTCGTCGGGCCCCGGCGGATAGCTCTAACCTTTCTCTACAACTCCAAGCAATTATCCTAGCCACACCCGGGGACAAGCCGCCCCCTGTTTCTGGGTCCTGGCCATCGCTGGCCCGACCGCAGTTCCATCTCACTCACCCGTGGACGCCATTTTCTCTCCTTCCTCCTCGTTCTCTCAACGTCCGTCACCCTCTCGCTTTTCCTCTAAGCGTCGCACTGCGCAGGCCCGAAACCCGCAACCTCGGGCGCTACTACTGGTCCAGGCCACGGGGGGGGAGGAGGAGGGATGAACCACTAATTTCTTGTTCTTCACGGCCGAAACTGTTGTCCTAATCCTTTTTGAAGCGTGTCGGACGTGACGCGTGGGAGAAAACAGCACTGTAAGGGCTGGAGCGCCGGTGTCCGTGTGTCAGCTTCGAGCCGAAGCGATTCGCGGCTGAAGGCTAGGTAGTTCGGAATGGTTACGTCCGCTGGCTCTAGGGACCGTCTCTGAAGAGTCTGCCCTGGAGGAAAACGCAGGCCAGCGGGAAGGTTGGTGGGGGGGGAGGGATTTGGGCCTAGAACAACTGCTGACTAATCGGCGGGCAGCGCGGGAGTGGGAGGGGGTGGCGCGCCTGCTGGTCGGCACGGGTCACGCGCCTGGGTGTGCACGCATTGGGGTTGGGACACCTTGGCGTGCGACCCGATTGTCAACTCTGGTGGGGGGGGGCCCACCTGGCCTTCCGGGGTGGTGGGCATGCTCCGCAGTGAGTACCTCTGACGCTTGCCCAAGCGGGCGAGGGTGGGGGCCTAGGCCGGTCGGTCGCGTGGGAGGCCCTGAACGCCGTGCCAGGCCCCAGGACTCACCCCCACCCCACCACCTAACGGTCGGTTGAGAAAGCCCTTTAATCACTTCTTTTCCAATACCCTTGTTTTAACAGAAGTGGAAATAGGCCTCAAGAAAACTCAGTACTGTTCTCACAGCCATACAGCTGAGTTCGACCTAGACCCTGGGACAGCCCCCATCCACCACCCCGAAGTCTTCCTGCCTGTGACTTCCTATTTGTACTCCTGACTGTCCAGCAAGGTAGGCAGGGCCTGATGGTGCCAGCCCCATTTTAGAAACCAACAGGGCTCAAGGCACAGTTCTGTGTCCCTGGGCAGATCCTTTACCCTTGCTGAGGTGCATGGGATGCGGTAGGAGTGATTATGAAGATGCAAGAGGAAGTGTTCAGTAGATGTCTTGGCCCCAGGCCCTGTGCCCAAGCAAGGCTGAGATCTACCCACTTGGCTGAACCTCAGCCTAACTCAATAAGTGAGTGGGTGCCCAGGCCCAGTTAAGGACAGGGCTCACCCCAACTTCCTGAGCAGAACCAAGGGCCAAGTAGTGTCTTTCTCTAAGAGAACACGTAAAAATCACTGGCTGCGTGGTGGAGAATTTGGGGATCAGAGGGGTGCCCCTTCCCCATGATCTTAGACCATTTGCCAACTGAGATGGGCCAGCTGTGCAAAAGACCAGGCTCTGTGATGTTGGAAGGGGAGAGGAAGGGGACATTTGAGGGGGGCTTCAAAGAATGAGTAGGTGTTTGTCTGGAGAGAGAGGAAAGACCTTTAAGCAGAAGAGATTCCTGCATTTTTCCCACAGGAAACTGGCAGATGCACCAGAAGCCTTTGGCGAGGAAACAGCTTTATTTTGCTGGGACACTGCTTTCTGCCTTGAATCAGAAGGAGCTTTGGGATAAGAGAAGCCTGGCTAGGGGTGAAGGGGCTCCAGCAGGGGCTGGAAGACAGGCTAGATGAGAGGGAGGAGCACAGAGGAGGAATAGCCTTGCTTTGTGGGATGGGAACGGCCATGTTGGGGCTGGAGCTTCAACCAGCTAGTCTTGAGCAGCCATCTCTAAATTGAGGCTGGGCCTTGGTGAGTGGGCCCAGTGCTGGCTACAAGTGCCTCCGGCAGCGGGGTGGCTACAGTCTATTAAGCAGGGGCTGTAGGCTGGGACCAGCCTTAGACTATTTTCTCAGCATCCTAGAAAAAAAGGTTTTCTTAATTCTCTGATGAGAAAGGAGAGGCTCAGGGTTTGGGAAAGCTGCCTAGGAACATACAGTGGGAAGAGGTGGAACAGGTACTAGAACTTTCTTGTGAAAAGTAAGACTAGGGCCAGAGGGGCTGTGCTCAAGGCTGAGGAAGATGCTCAGATATGGGACTCCTGCTGCCTCTCTTCTAGCCCTTGTATCCCACTCCCCTGGCCAAATCTGCTTGCCCATTGTGTGCCCTTGTCTCCTTGGCCTAGGGCAACTGAAGCCACTGGGACCCTAAAGCCGAGCACAGTGGCAGGGAAGAGGAGGAGGGTGGCAGCCTAAGGGAAAGGAGAAGCAGAAGGTGGCTAGAGATGGCTCTGAATTTGTCCTAGACCATAATGGCAGGTGTTTCAGGGACCAAGTGCCCAAACTGCACACCAAAACCCACTTATTTATGCCAAAGTGCCAGTGCTGCAATTAACCTGAATACTGAGATTTTAGTTTAGAAAAAACAGCTCACACTTCTCTGTGTGTCCACTGTGACACTTGTTCAATAGGCTTGCCATTACTGCCCTAGAGGGTTGAGCCCCTCTTCAGCAGTCCAGGGTCCCAGTTCAGTTTTCCTGGCCCTACACCTCCAATCTGAGGCTTTTCTTCAGGGTCCATCTAAACTCAGGACTCTGTGACAGCTCTATCCCCCTCCTCACGATGGGCAGGTGGCTAATGAACACATGGGTAGGGCTCAAACCATTGTGGCAGAGCTGCCTCTCCCACCTGTTTTTACTTCTGTAAAATGAGGCTGTTTGTAAAGTAGCTGAGGGAGTCAGTGAGATAAAGCTGCAGTAATAACTCTTGGTTTTTTCTTTCACCACAGCACACTCCCAGGACCACCCTTGACCATCCTCAATCAAACAAACCATGCATGCCAGGGAGGCCCCTAGTCTCCTGTTCCCAGCGCTGCCTCTTGCCTCCTCTGTCTTGATGCTGCTGATGACTAGCCTATGGCTGGTGGGAGCTGGCCCCAGCCTCACGCTGGCTCCGGAGTTGCTGCTGGACCCCTGGCAGGGTGAGGGCCAGCCTCAGAGTCCTCATAGATGGGAGATTGTAGGGTCTGAGACTGTTTGGGAGCAGCAGCATGTACTCTGCAGTGGTTCATCCACAGCTGAGAAAGAGGGCAGAAGGCCTAGCAGAGGGCCAACAGAATGGAGTGGAACCTGTGGATAGGAGTTATTAGTATTATTTTTTAATGTATTTGGTTGTTGCAGGGTCTCACTATGCAGTCCGGACTCCTAGTGATCCTCCTCTTTTCAGCCTTCCCAGCGCTGGGATTACAGGCCTACACCACTAGGCCTGGACTCTGTGGCCTGCTCAGCCGGCCCTAAGGGTGGGGCTGGCGCAGCATGTAGTGCTGAGGATCAAACTGTGGTCCCTGTCTGAGCTTGCCTAAGCTGGCACTTTAATCTGCTGAGCTATCTTGCTGGCCCAGGAGTTTTTTTTTTTTTTTTTTTTTTTTTATAGCACTGGGGGTTGAACCCACGGCCTTTATTTATTTTTTTTTTAAATAAATCCCGTCTTTTATTTTTTTATTTTTTTTTAAAACACCAGGGGGGCGGGACTGGCTGGTATGTGGTGCTGGGGGATTGAACCGTGATCCCTGTGTTTTGCTTAGTTTAGCTTGTTCTAAGTAGGTGCTTTAGACCACTGAGCCATTTCACCAGCCCCATGGCCTTTAATACTGAGTTACAACCCCAGCCTTTAGTTTTAGTATGTATGTATGTATATATGTATGTATTTAGTACAGGGTGTACAGGGTCTTTTTTTTTTTTTTGGTGGAACTGGAGATTGAACTCAGATCCTTGTACTTGCCAGGCAAGCGCTTATTCTACTGAGCTATTTCACCGGCCCCTAGATCAGATTCATAGTGATCCTCCTGTTTCCAGCCTCCCAAATGCTAGGATTACAGGCACGCACCACCACCATGCCCAGTCTTAATTTCCTCTCAGTGTGCCCCAGGGGCAGGCAGCATGGCATGCTTCCAACCTTTAAAAGATTTTTTTTTTTTTCTTCTAAATTTTGAGACCGGGTCTTGTTAAATTTCCCAGGTTGGACCGGAATTTATAATCCTGCCTCAGCCTCCTACAGTGCTGGAATTACCAGGCCTGGCTAGCAGTTCTGTCAGCCTTCCTTTGATGTAAAAAGTGAGGCTAAAACAGGCTTTCAGCTAAGAATGAGGATAAGGAGATGATAGTGGTTTGAGGAGTAACCCCCACTGAACACCTATTTCCCAATAATAACAGTTCCAATTACCCAGAGAGATTCAGGGATTTGTTTAAAGTCACAAAGCTGGGAGAGAGGGGAACTCCAGGATTCAAGCAGCCTCATCAGAACTTGTATTTTTAGCCAGGTAGGAAGGATTTGGTAAATGTGTATGCAACACCCCTCCACTGTGCCATAGTGAGAGCTTAGCAGTTAGTTACTAGTGAGAGGGTTGAGTGGTGCATCCCATAGACACAGCAGAGGGGAGTCACAGCTTTTGGAAGTCCCTGGTCCCCTCTGCCAGTGATTATGTGCTGGCAGTGGGCATACCAGCCCCTGATGGGGGAGGCTTGTTCAGCTGGTGGCCCTGTTAGATGACCCCCAAACCCCCTACCCGGTATATAAGCCCCTTTTCTCTCCCAGTGCACCGGCTGCTGACTCATGCCTTAGGCCACATGACCCTGCCAGGCCTGCTCCTGAGCCTGCTGCTGCTGCCCGCTTTGGGCTGGTGGCAGGAGCGCCACCTGGGCACACTGCGCTTCCTGCACTCCTCCACCCTGCTCTCCCTGGCCACCGGGGTGCTGGCTGTGTTGCTGGCAGGCCTTGGAATGTCTAGTACAGGTGGCAGCTGTGGATACATGCCAGTTCACCTGGCCATGCTGGCTGGGCAGGGTCACTGCCCCCAGTGGTTTTGGGGGGTCCTGCCACCAAGGCTGTTGCCCTGGCTGCTGCTTGCCTTGACTCCATTGCTGAGCTCTGAGCCACCCTTCCTGCAGCTCCTCTGTGGCCTCCTTGCTGGCCTGGCCTGTATCCTTTGCTGGAGCCCAGAGCCTGTGTAGTCTGGTGGGTTCTGTGGAACTGGTGTGCGTGTGGGGAGTTGGGTGTCTGGGAAAGACATAAAACACAGGTTCAGGCCTCAGCGGTTCCAGGTGGTTGTGCGCTTATGTCATGGGAGCAACTCTGTGAGGAGTGGGGTGTCATGGCCAGGTGGGAGTGCCATTTTCAATTTAACTCCATGGGGAGTCTGAGAGGGCTGAGGAGGCACTAATCTGAGTCCTGCCATAAAAGTGACATCTAAACTGAAGCACACAGGAAAATGTTTGTGTGGAGGGCAGTGGGAGAGTGGACTGGGCAGAGGCCACAGAAAACATAAAAGGCCAAGGATTCTCTGGGAAGGACACTGCAGGGCCTGTTGTTCACATGCCTAAAGCATGTGCATTTGTCACAGAGAACAGGCTGAACCCTTGCACTATTCCAGGGGAGGAGTCTGTTTCAGATTCAGGGTACTGGGTGCCCAGACCTGTGTGGATGGGGAGCGTGTTGTCTGGCTGAGGGCAGGGAGTGGTCAGCAGGGCTCTTCCTGGAAGAGCCATAGCAGGCACACACCTCTGAGAACAGAGCAGAGCAGGATAGCTGAGGGAGGAGAGAGCTAGATTTGGTGGTGGGGAGACACACCTGGTTCTTCCTCTTTGGCCAAGTAGCTTCAGGCTGGTTCCCTTTTGCTGAGCCTATGCTGCTGGCTTGGGTGATGACATGTTCCTTCAGGGCTGTAGTAAGATACAAGGGAATGCCTAGCACACACTTGGCAAAGGGCCTGGTGTGTTGGCTTGGGCACCCCCTCACTGGTTTCAGTTTTCCTTGACCTGCTGCCCTGCCTTGGGCAGACAGACATGAATGGGGCCTTCTGGTGGCTGGAGCTCTCAGAGCGACGACTACAGATGTTGCAGGAGGGCATCTTGTGCAGGACTCTGGCCCAGTGCTGGCCACTGAGGCTCTTTCCCACCCCAGGCCACCCACCTGAATTGCCTGTCACCCATCCTGCTAGAGTGAGGTAAGAGAGCCACCATAGCCCCAGCACTGGTGGTGCAAGCCATGGCAGTGGCTGGCAGTCACACCTTCCTTCGCTTCTGTTCCTGCAGTCCTGCTGTCCCTCCCCCTTGGCCCCACAGCGAACATCCAGCCAGGCTCCCACCAGGCCTCAGACCTGTGCAGCTGACTTGGGAGGGTTCCTCGAAGATGGATCTGGACTGGGCCAGGTCCACTTTTGCTCTAGGGACCCCACTATGGATAGCCCTGGATGAGCAGATGCTACAGGAGGGAATCCAAGCCTCACTCATGGATGGGCCAGTTCAAGGACCTCAGGGCCCACTGTGGCTGACTAAGCCCTCCGTTTCCTCTCTCCGGTAAGGAAGGGTGGTCAGGGATGGTGCCCCTGGTGTGGAGGCTGCAGAGGGCTGATACATCTTCTTTGTCTTCATGCCACCTCACAGGCTGCAGCAGCTGGAGCGCATGGGTTTCCCTACAGAGCAAGCCGTGCTGGCACTTTCAGCTACAGGCCATGTGGAAGGTGCTGTGTCCCTGCTGGTTGGAGGGCAGGTGGACACAGAAGCCTTGGTGACTGAAGGGCAGGGAGGACCTGCCCACCCCAAGGGTCCTGGGCCCCCCTAGCAGAGGGCAGGGGCATAGGCCCTGCCTGAAGGCAGATAGCTTGAGTCCCGGTTCTGTGTACTGAAGGCCATACTGGGTACAAAGCATGCCCCCACCCTCACTGGCATGCTGTCTTGGTACGTGTTTAGAATAAAAGCCAGTTTGTTTTTTAGCCTGGACTCCTTGGACTTGTTTCTGACTTCTGTGTTGGCACTGCGGATAAATGGCCACTTGCAAGAAAGTTCTTCATGTCCAGCAACATCAGGCTTTTTTGCCCTATATCTTCTTCCACCAGGAAGCCATATCTTCCAGGGCTGGGCTGGACCCTCTGGCACCATCCATTGCTGGTTTCCAACTAACATCTGCCCATCTTTGGGCCTCAGCTTAGATGGGCCCTCCTAGGCTGCCCTTGTCCGAGCACACAGTGAGACCAGGCTGGGTGGGATCCAGGTAGGGGCCTTTATTGGCCAGTACACATATCTACCTCCCAGTGTTTGTCACACACTTCAGGTAGACTCTTCTCTCCTGACCTAGGACCCTGGGGAGGGACTGAAGGCTTGAAGGGCAGAACTGAGATAAGGAGCCTCTCACTTTTGTCAGGAAATTAGATGGCCAGCCTCAGGGGTGGGAACCCAGCACCAGAAAACAAGGAGAGGAGGCTGCATGAGTGGCTCCCCGAAGTCCGCCTGAGGAGGACAGAGACTGCCCCCTCATCCTTGCATATATTGAGGGTGGGCAAAGCTCTGCTCTTGGCTTCTGCAGTACCTCTCAGCCTGGAAGTGGATGAGACAAGACACCTTATATCTCTCCCCACTCTTTAAAGGCCTGTATTACCCCATTTTGCAAAGAGAAAGAAAGGCCCAGGCCCCTGAGTGAGGCTGAGTAAGCCTGCCTAGGTGGTTACCTCTCTTAAGCCCCAGGCCCTGATGGGTTTCAGGTATGCACAGGTATCAGAACTGAGACCTGCCTACCCCTAAAGCCTAAGAGGCAGAGGGACCCTGAGGACATTTAATAAATAGGAACTGGTGATCCTTGGAAGCAGTTGGCCAAGTCCAGGCTGGAAAGGGAAGCCTGGTGTGGTCCACCCTGAGGAGCCACCACTGCTCTCAGCCTCTCTCATTGCGGCTTCTAGAGGTGATGATCCGGTAGTTGGCTGCATGTCCTCCCCTCTTGCCCCGAAGGAGGCCAGGGCTGCCCAGGCCACCAGGGCCTGTCCCAGACCCCAGCTCTGGTTCTGTTGGAAGGAATGAGGAGAGAGAGGCTGTGTTAGGAAATCCATGTGAGGTTCCCACCTCCTGCTAGCTCTCTGGCAGGGGGCAGGACAAAGCAGTGTAGCCTGGCACATGGGAGGTAGAGCTTTGGGAAGGAAGGGCGCCTGCAGGCTGGTTTATGCCTTCCCTCAGGACTTCTGAGCCCCCAACCCGAAGAGAATTCTCAGGGCCTCTGTTTTCATTTGTGCTTTCTCAAGCAAGGATAACTAGGGCCTACTATATTTACATGAAATGTTCAACACATAGCAGGTACTTTGTTGAAACTTCAGTTCTTAACTGGGCATGATGGTACATGCCTGTATCCCAGGTCCCTGGGAGTCAGGCAGGAAGATTGCAAATTTGAGACCAGTCTGGACAACTTAGCAAGATCTTCTTTTTTAAAAAAAAAAATTCTTAGCTGAAGGATAGCCTGAACTGCATAGGGAGACATTGTCTCAAAAAAAAAAAAAAAAAGTAGTACAGTACTTAACTTGCTTACAATGAGTTCAATTCCCAGAACTGGAAAGAAAAAAAAATCATTCTATTTCATAATTGAGTAAACTGAAGCCAAGAAACAGATTTATTGCCCCTGTTCTCTTTCCTTGGGCTAGGCCACCAGTTTGGGGAAAGGCTTAGGAAGGGGCCAGGCTCTACCTCTGTCCTAGTATGCAGTTTTGAGCAAGCTGGACCCACCAGGGCCTCAGCTGTGTTATCTCTAAATCAAGGACATTTCCGGATAGACTGAGGGCCAGGGAGCTGGAACAATGACTGAAGTCAGTTCCAGTGGGGCTACGGTGAAATATCCCAACCTGGAACAAAATAATAACTGGCATTCTCGCCACTGCAGAAGTCCTGCTTATCTTTCCTAACCCAGCATGAGAGCTATGGCCTCTAGGAAGCCTTCTGTGACTGTCGGTCCCTCCCAAAGTTAGATCAGGTAGGGCAGGATAGGCTGTTTTTCTAACAGGAGATAGATACTCAGGGAGGAGACCCCATGATGGAGGACTTGGCTGAGCTCCCAGAGCCCTTTCTAGGAGAGATATTGGGGCTCTGGTGAGGACCAGGTTCACACTTGAGGGCACTGCTGTTGAAGAGGGCTTTACTCTCCTAGTCCTAAAAGCTGTGCCCACAAACCTCTGAACTGAGATTAGGGACCTCTGGAGTAGGCAAGATAGGTATATGTAGTCACTTCAAAGGACATTCCATGTGGAATGACAAGGGAACATGAGAGACAGTGGCACAGAGCACTAGCTTCTGTCTTGGCTGGGATCAAGTCCTGGCCCTACCATGTTCAAGTTAGGTGGCCTTGGGCAATCCACACACCTTGGAGGCTCATGTAGAACACAGAGATCATACTTTTGCCATCGTCACACCTTTGCCATAAATGAGTTTAATATGACCAGGAGTGGAAAGTGGTTTTTAAGATATGATCTTGTGGCTTTGACCCACGTCTCTCATAGGTCTGGTCACTACGAACTGATCATGACATAAATAACTCTGGGGTCCTTGTTTTCCTCAGAGCACTATTCAGTGTCTGGCCAGGCAAAGGTATCAGTAAACCTTTGCTGGAGAAGTCAAAGGAACCAGCACTTGAGAGGACAGACAGACCTAAGGTGGACAGACCTGGGGTCTTACTGTCGCTATATCCATGACCCTGAGGGAATCATATGAGGCCTCTGTTCCTGTTTCTTCACTTTTAAAATAGGCATTACTCAGCTAACAAGTTTACTGTTTTGTTTTTTTTTTTTTGTTGTTGTTGATGATGATATTGGTTTTAGGGTTTTTTTTTTTAAATATTTTTTATATTTTAACAGTCTACAGGGTGTTCAGGGTCTCACTAGTAGATCTGACTCATAGTGATCTGCCTGTTTACAGCCTCCCAAGAGCTGGGATTACAGGCATGCACCACCATGCCTGAACTCTGGCCCGCTCAGCCTGCCCTAGAGGCAGGGCTGGCAAGACATGTGGCCCCTGTACTTGTCTAAGCAGGTCTTTAGTCCGCTGAACTATTTTGCCTGCCTAGGCCGTTTTTTAAAAATGTATTTAGTAACAAGGTCTATAGGGTCTCACTACACAGATGAGACTCATGGTGATCCTCCTGTTTTCAGCCTCCCAGTGCTGGGATGTACCACCACACCCAGTCTCAATCACAGTCTCAGCATGCCCTGGAGGCCAGGCCTGCACAGCACGCCAGGGATCTAACCCCTGTCCTTGCTTGTGCCCATGTAGGTGCTTTTATCTTCTGAGCTATCTGGACAACCCCCCCTTTTTTTTCTTCCCCCCCAAAATCTTATTTTAAGAATTGGAGATGATTACACATATCCCCAGTCCAGGAGGCCCACAGATGTAGTACTGATGATAGCTGTTACTATCATCATCAGCAGCAGCGTTCGGAGCTGAAGACTGAACCTAGGATCTTATGCACAATTTGTATTGATTATAACCTAAACACTGGGGCTGAGGAGATGACTCAGTAGAATAAGCACTTGCCTGGCAAGCACAAGGTCCTGAGTTCAATCCCTGGTCCCACCAAAAAAAAAAAAAATGTGTGTGTGTATATATATATATATTTTTTTTTTTTTTTTTTTTTTTTTTAATAACCTAAACACTAACCCCAATTGTCTTTTTTTTTGGCGGTGGTGGTCAGGATTGAAGCTAAAGCTTATGTATGCTAGGTTAAGTGCTCTACTACTGAGTTACATCCCTAGCCTTTTCAAAATTTTATTTGGAAACTTAGTTTAACTAAATTGCCCAGGCTAGTGGTAAATGTGTAATCCTTCTACTTCAGCCTCAAAAGTAGCTAGGATTACATGGGTGAGCCACCATGCCTGGTGCCAGTGCCATCTGGGTCTCTAGTTAGCACTGCTGTATATTCTGGGCCAACATGGAGGGTTCCGATTCATTTCCCTGTTCCCTTCCTTATGCATCTCTTCCCCCAGGGTCTGACCCATGCCGGCCGGAAGGGCCACTGTCCTGGGTGTGTGGTCACTGAAGGGGAGCAGGCCTTCTCAATGCCTGGTACTTCCTCTCTGGGCTATCCGAGGGAGACCTGACTGAGGGCAGACAAGCAAGGACAGATCTTGGGCTGCAGTGGCACAAATGTGTCCTTATTAGCTCTTTCCCCAGTCCTCTCCAGAGAGGTGGTGGGGACTCCTAGGAAGGTACTGAAAGCTTAGGATCTCACCCCTTGGTCCCAAGATTTCCTTGGGTTCCTCAGAGCTGAGGGGCATGAAGGGCAGGTACCAACTGGTTGCAAGGCAGCAGTCAAGTGAATCTCCCGAGACCTCGGTCGTACCTTGTAAGGTAGAGACAGTTTCCCTAGCTCCTCTAGGGAACAGATCAATGGAAAGAGCTCTGGGTGGGAGTCCCTAGGTCTCCACAAGTTTGAGAAGTCAGGTGACTGGTGGGAGGGGCTCTGTAAGCTTGGACCACACACACTTGCTAACCTGGGCCTTCGGTGTTTAGACACGTCAGGATTGACCCTTCCACCCTCTCCACCTGGCACCTAGGAATTTTTTCATGACCCAGTGCAAGTGTCCCCTCTTCTTCTTCTTTTTTTTTTTTGGCAGAACCAGGGATTGAACTCAGGCCCTTGTGCTTGCCAGGGAAGCACTTATTCTACTGAGCCATCTCCCCAGCCCCTCAAGTGTCCCCT